ATTTCTTGGTCCAGATATCGCTGTTTCAGTGGTGTGGACGAAATTGAGGGACGGCACCCTTGCGGTCGAGGGCAGCACAAGCCAAATACTCACGTTCTTGTGTGTTTTTTTATTTTTTCTCCCCAACGAACAGCTGGCCATGCTCTGCGAGTCTATAGACGCGCGGTCAAGCCGTCAAATCGGCCGTCCGGTCTTCCTGGAGTGTTCGGACCGTGTTGCTGCAAAATGGATTGTTCGTTTGCAACTTGTGTTCAATTCTCCCCGTGGATGAAGGCCGTCTCGGCGATTTCGGCTTTGCGAGCGGTGATTACGAGACAAGGTATTGGCGCTGGTCCTGACACAGAGTTCGCCGCTGTTGTCACGTATCATGATGCGCTTTACCAACGTCAAGTATGGGTTTGCGCACATGCACATGTCGATTGATTTTGTGTTTCTTTTGTCTATCCGAGACGCAATGTTCGCCCGAAGAGACAAGCGCCTTCAACAATCACGGTACTCAATTTTGATTAGATGGTCGCGTTAGAGTATGCCGTGCGCTAACAACACTTCATCGGGCGCATCATGATACGTGCCAACAGCGGCGAACTCTGTGTCAGGACCAGCGCCAGTATCTTCACCCAAGGACAAGATACTCGAAATCACCGCTCGCAAAGCCGAAATCGCCGAGACGGCCTTCATCCACTGGGAGAATTGAACACATGTTGCAAACGGACAATCCATTTTGCAGCAACACGGTCCGAACACTCCAGGACGACCGGACGACTGATTTGACGGCTTGTACGCGCGTCTATAGACTCGCAGAGCATGGCCAGCTGTTCGTTTGGGAGAAAAAATAAAAAAACACACAAGAACGTGAGTATTTGGCTTGTGCTGCCCTCGACCGCAAGGGTGCCGTCCCTCAATTTCGTCCACACCACTGAAACAGCGATATCTGGACCAAGAAATGATCAATCCGCGTTCAGTTTTTTTCCGTGGTCGACCATGACCTAGGCTATCGTCACCGTGTCAGTGGTGTGGAAAAAATACAAAAACACCGGGTTGGGTGGTCGTTTTACACCTGCTGCAGCGGCTGGTTAAGGGCGAACGAGCCATTTTTCGAATGTTTTTTCCACCAAATCGTGTTTAGTTTGTCAACAGCTTCATCGAGGTCCTGTTTTTGTGATTTTGTTTGTAGACATGTATCTGGAGAGCACGTGCAAACTTGGTTTTGGCCGCACGGGTGCGTTCCGGCCTCAAAATTGATTTTTGGGCTTGGGTACGTCGGCCGAAAAATGGTAAGACAAAAATGTTCATCCAAAACCAATCAACACTCATGAAGCAACGCGACACCTATGCATCCCCACATGACCGGAGGGCCGGTTTGACGGTTTCTTCGCGCGTCTATAGACTAGCAGAGCAGGGCCAGCTGTTCGTTTGGGAGAAAAAATAAAAAAAGGCCAAAGAAAGTGCGAACTTGGCTTGTGCTACCCTCGCCAGCAACGGCAAGATTTCTATATTTCGCCCACACTACTCAAATGGCGATATCTGGACCAAGAAACGATCAATCCGCAATTATTTTGTTGTTGTAGTTGTCTATGACCCCGTGTACGATCACCACGACAACTATTCAGGAAAAAAATTAAAACCCTGTGATGGGCAGTCGGTTTACTCCTGCTGCAACGGCCGGTGAAGGGTTAAGGGTTAAGGAGCCAATTTCCGCATGTTTTCTCTACCAAATCTTGTTTTTTTTCTCAACAGCTTTTCATTGAGGCCCTGTTTTTTTTTAATGTGCTGGTACACATGTATCTGAAGAGCACGTGCAAACTTGGTTTCGGCCGCACGGGTGCGTTCCGGCCTCAAAATTGATTTTTGGGCTTGGGTACGTCGGCCGAAAAATTGGAACAAAAATATTATCACCCAAGAACAATCAATGACCATGACGTAACGCGACACGTATGCGGCCCCACATGACCGGACGGCCGATTTGACGGTGTTCCTGCGCGTCTATAGACTCGCAGAGCATGACCAGCTGTTCGTTCGGGAGAAAAAGTTAAAAAATGCCCAAGAAAGTGAGTATTTGGCTTGTGCTGCCCTCGACCGCAAGGGTACCGTCCCTCAATTTCGTCCACTGAAACAGCGATATCTGGACCAAGAAATGATTAATCCGCGTTCAGTTTCTTCTCGTGGTCGACTATGAACATCTGGACCATCACCACGACAAATATACGCGAATGAAATAGAACACACGGGTTCTCTGATCGTTTTACACCTGCTTGCAGCGACTGGTTGTGGCTAAGAAACATTTTTTGGAATGTTTTCCTCCACCAAATCTTGTTTTGCTTTTCACCAATTTGACGGAAAGTCTGTTATTGTGTGGTGTGCTGGTACACATGTATCTGGAAGCACGCGAAACATTGTTTCTTCCGAACAGGCTCGGGCTAGCCTCACAACACATGTTCTGGCCTTGGTGTGTCGGGCGGAAATCGATCAACAGGTTTTGGAAGAGATATGGTAAAGAATCATGCAGCATAATGAGTCCAACATTCACCTGTTGATGGCCGGAAGGCCGATTTCATGTATTCAATGCACGTCTTTTTCCAACGGCTAAGTGCCAGCTCCCCATCTTGTACGACACCGATAGCATCGGGAAGAAAGTCGGGTTTGGGCACGTTTCTCGGTCAACCCTTGAACGGGGTTCAGGTTTTTGGCTACAACCGTCTACCTCAAATTCGTTTTCTGTTTGACGTGTGACGCACAAACTCTCCTCCCAGTTTATCCGTCGCAAACTTTGCCAATCCATTCGCTCTTTCCGCGCCTACCGTGTGTATCCTCTTCTCGCAGCATCGAGGACCACAACTTTCACGCGCTGATCAAGGAAGCACACTTTGCTTTCGAAGCCCTAGTACAGCACCCGTTTGGGTTCGTGAGCTTCATGCACGGGCGCTGGCCAGATATTCTGTATCGATGGTTGCGCGAAGATTTGTACAGACGACGTTTCGAGGGAACAGTTTGACATTGCTCGGGCGGAGAGAGATGTGGACGCAGACTTCCACAATGAGGTGCTGAAGATGTCCATGATTTACAAGATGATTTTCAACGCGCGCCTTCGCTGGGTGCTGGAGGCGGCTCCAACCTTCGGACCGCACAACCGCGTTTCAAACGTGATGCATCGAACAGCACGCGGAAGGATGGCGCCGGTAGGATCTCCCGAGAACGGGGATGCGGGGGAGCTAATGCGCGCGCTCGGCGACGGCGCCGTTACCGACCTCTCCGACAAGTCCGTTAGTGACCTCAAGAACATCGACAGGCTCTGCTTCCCCGATGGAAAGGGAATCAGCACGTGAGTTCTGGAGGAGCACTCGCACACGCCCTCTTTTGCGACGTATGCTCGAGTTTACGGGTGCGAGCTTCGTACGTAAAACGTTCTCTCCCTCACACATGTTCTCGCCCCTCCACCTTCACTGTCGAAAACGCATCTCTTGACTATGTATCCAACGAAGGAGCTTCTTGTCCAGTGCCTCCAAAAGCTCTGGGAGTCTGCTGGTGCGGATGGCGAACGGGAACGGTGCTCGAAGCTATTTATCGGCAAACCGTCGGGGTCAACGGCAGGAGTAGAAGGTCTCTTCACGGGTGATGGAGTGATGGTTGCGCACGTATTCCAGATCACGGCTGAGAGCCCAGCCGACGCTGTGGACATGTTGGTGCACCTCCTGGTGAGCTATTGTGCTCTTTCAGCCAAGGCCATAAATGCCATGAACCGACGCGAAATATCGAGTGAGCATGCCGCGTTCAAGTTTCACAGTGCGATGCCATGTGTAGACGAAATGTGTGGTAAACAGCGTGGTAGCCCCCCATGCAACTTCCACGGGGGGGGACGGTTGCAGCGATGTGTTTTTTGGGTTGAGTATTGTTCGAATGCCTAAGTTCGTCTCCACATTTTTCCTTTGGCTGGTTTATTGTCATTTGCTGTCACAGCACCTTGTTGATCAATGAGCACACCCGTCGCGGGTGGATACTAAGGTGAGATCGTAGGAAGAACGTTTTTTATTCGAAATATTGCGTCACTTCCGCCGTACATGGGATTTATGTGGTGCTGAATATTCAAGTTGCGTTCGTGGGGCTCGTGGGGTGAGGTGTTGGCCACGCGCCTACGTTTTCTACATTTTCCCCTGTCGTTGACCCGTCCCTCGAGGCCTTGGAGCACGTGTTAGGCACTCGTGAAGAAATGTGTGGTATGTTCGTGCATGACGCTTCCTTACATGCTGAATGCTGTTCCTGTGTTTCCTATCGCCACTACCAAGGTACAACCATGCCTGGTGATTACGGATATACCATGCATGCTTGCACCGATCGCGGACAAGAATCATCCTGATCTGCTGGATGAAGGGGGCGCCCTGCCACGTAACGCCGAAGGTCAAGTTTCCCTGAAAGGACTGCAGCACATCGGAGCCCGTGCACGCGACTTTCCGGATCTGCACTCTGTGAAGGTGCCACCGGGGGGATTCACATCTGCGACCGCATCGTCTGCATTGGGGGCCCAACCCGTTCACAACGTGTACGCGGTCTATGCCGCCGCGGAGCCTCCACCCGGCGTTCAAGCGCAGCTCGACTTCCGCACTCTACTTGGGCACCATTCTGATATGGTTGAGAAGGATCGTCAACTTCGAGCTGCACCTGACGCTGAGGGCGATGTGACAGGGGCAAGCGACTGGTCGTCTTCCCCCAAGCGCATCAGCGAGCTTGCGGAGAACACTCTCGCCTCTCTACACAATCAAGGATGGTACGCTATCGACCTCTTCGAGGTTGTACTCGTGTTCTCGCTATGGTTTCAGGCAGCTGGGCGAGAGGCAGCTGGGCGAGAGGCAGCTGGGCGAGAGGCAGCTGGGCGAGAGGCAGCTGGGCGAGAGTCTGCTGCGGGTGAGGCACAGGGGGTGGGAGGGGAGCGGGGGGGTGGGGCAGACGAGATTCCACCTGAGCGCGAGATTGCCGACTTGTCAACAAAGGAGCTTATCGATATCTCCGGTCACCTCATGGAAACTCTGAGGGTAGCAATTGGATCAACGGACGCCGCTGGCTGGACAATGATGTGCATGCCTGAGTTTCTTGGAGACGATGTGCTGTACTACAGTCAATCAATGGAAGGAGTAATAGGCGGGGCGGTAGATGACATAGAGGAAGGTGTCGGCGAGGCTGCTCCGGTTTTGAGAAAATTGGAGGACACCGTCAACCTTTACCACCAGGTGAGACATTGATTACGACGGAGATGAACTCAACTGAAGGGAAATAGCCTTATCTCGAACACTGAAACTACATTACTTGGCGCGAAGTAAGGATATTTCTATCTCGACCTTGGTGCTCACTGTCCTTGTACTCTGTTCGGGCGCCCTTTGTGTTTTTTTCGATCTCACCTGTGCAGAAGAAGGTGACATTCACCACCGACTTGCTCGCCGCCGTGGACAACGACTCATCCGAGCGCGCATGTGAGAGAACGTATCATTGTCAACGAAGTTTTTCTTTCTTTCGGATCGTTGCAATGTGCTAGCGGCACCAAGTTCCTCGTGTGTAGAAGTGGCGGTTTCTGCCCCGCTTTCTAAATAATGTACCGTCCCCCCTACCGCCCTCCCCCCTCGGTGTTTGCCATCGGGATTGGGTTTTTGTCGCTTGCCAACGACGTTGTAAAGAAAGCCAGTTCACTTTGTGAACTCGGCAACCAGGTTACCGTTCTTTTTTTTTTTACCTCTGTTTTGTTTTTGGGCGGTAATCATAATGGTGGTCGAGTAGATCGTGTTGTGCGGGGTGGAGAACCCTCACTCCGCGCAAGGGGGATGATCGCACCACGTTGTGTT